CTCTCTCTCTCTCTCTCTCTCTCTCTCTCTCTCTCTCTCTCTCTCTCTCTCTCTCTCTCTCTCTCTCTCTCGACCAACATGCACACGACAACAAGGAGATTAACAGAATTTACAAAGCAACGGGAGCACTACCAGTTGGCACAAGAATTCACACTGTTGAAGTCTCTTGACGATGAAAGGGCCCTACACGTCTCTGACAGTCAATTACAACAACAACAAGAGCAGTTCTCTGCCCTCACTGGTCTCTGTACCAGCCCAAGTGACCACCTACTCTATCATGTTCTCTTAATCTTATTCGACTCCTACTGTCGTCACCCGAATAGAACGCCTGGTAATTATTGCCATATCTGGACTGAAATTTGCACCAAATACAGCTATAATGACCGGGCGTTCTATTCGGGCAAAGACGGTTGTGCCTTGCCACAGAGTACCTTGACAACGCTGTAGCCCTTCTCAAGGGCCAGCAGGTAGTAGTACGTGGCCACTCTTCAATGTCTGCAGACTCTGGACTGCTTTCCTCTTCCCCTAAGGAAGGATGGTCCCATTCTAACCCCACTTCCCTCCTACCTCCTCAACGTCCAACTGGCTATGGTGCCCGGCTTCTTCCTTGGCGCCCAACCAGCTCTGGCGCCCATCTTCTTCCTCAGCTCCCAACCTGCTATGGTGACAGCCTTCTTCCTCAGGGTCCAACCCGCTATGGCGCCCATCTTCTTCCTCAGCTCCGAACCTTCTGTGGTGCCAGTCTTCTTCCTCAGGGCCCAACCTGCTATGGCGCCGGTCTTCTTCCTCAGCCATGGCTGCCATTGATCTGGTACTGGGCGCTGCCCTGACCGCCAACCAGCACGAGGCCCAACCATCCTGTCCAAATCCTTATCTCACACTCATCCCAGCTATGGCTGGTCCTCGCCTTCTCCCTCAGCCCACCTACTGCTGAGGCTGACCTGTCAGCTGAAGCCACTGCTCCAGCTGCCGCAGCTCACTAAGAGCGCCCAGCACCCGTTGACCAAACTCCCTCCGACAAAGACGACTTTGACTTGCCCCGACCTTCCTGTAACACTTTGGCCGGTCCGGGTTCAGCTGGTAGGCGTTACCTCTCCAGTCTTCCGGTTTTGGGCACAACGCTTGACCTGACTGAGTCCCAGACAGCCTGGCCGGGCCCGACCCTTGACATGACCGGGTCTTACCCCTTTGGGTCTGAGCCCAGGGCCTGTCAGCCCCCTGGTGTCCGCTGGGAGGACCTCGGGTCCTTGCAAGACAGTGATGAAGTTTGAAAAGTCATCGCAGTTTTCCTGAGAAAGGCACATGATTCACCGGGGCCTCTACTTAGCAAGTTAGCACACAAAAACCACCGCTACCTTTCACAAGAAAATTTTTGCGACGAATTGGTTTACATCTTCGTTGTTCGGGGTCTCGACCTCCCGGATATCTTTGGCTGGCAGTGCCAGTCGAAAAGAGAAAAAAGAGTGCTGAGCCGGTTCTTGTTGGGCTTGGCACGCAGCACAAATCCGCCACGGGAAGAAGAGGCCCGGAGGTACTGGTGGTTTGATACCTCATAATGCCATTCGAATGGGTGTTTGAGGGGTTATGTGACAATATATATATATCGTCACAAACAGAACTGCCCGGTAAACCGTAGGCAGAGAGAGAGTATATATATTATATATATCGTCATATATAGCCCCTCGTTTGTTGTCCTCTTCTCTCTCTCTGCCTACGGTTTACCGGGCAGTTCTGTTTGTGACGATATATATATCTAATTGTCTATATATCACCTATATATATATATATATATATTTACATAGGGTTCAGCCTCCAGATGAGTTGGTGAAACTCCGATGAAACAGTCTGTCACAGCCCCTTGTTGTCCTCTTCACCCTCTCTGCCTACTGTTTACTGGACAGTTCTGTTTGATGATATATACGTACTGTAAAGTACATATATATATGTTCCCAAATTTCTTGGGCGAATATAAATGTGCTGTGGCGTCTCTGTGCCAGACATAATATAAAATAAAATGTGTTCTGGAGCGTGTGATTGGTGTGTATTTTGAGGTGATGACGTGTAATCCGTTGATTGGTGTGTCAGCACAGGAACAGGACTGTTAGCGATGATGGCCTGCCGCGCATTGCAGCAATGTCGTCCCTCAAGAAAAGGAGAAATTGCAGCACACGAAGCTCAGCGAGACACAGGTCGCGGCTCTGATGTTGACACTGTAGGGGATGGAAACGATCTGGTGACGGCGTGCGAATCGTTCCCGCCAATGGCCACCTTGGCTTCTCGAGTTGTATCAGCAAATGGGATGTCTAATCAGATACACATCGTCTGCAAACGCTCAGATGAACTGCAAGTCGGATTGGGTCTGGACATGCCCAGGAAAGCAGATGTGCTGGTGTGTTGTTCCTACTTCTCTCTCACTTTCCTACGGCCTGGCCTCACCATCCCTCTCTGCCCTCTTAGTCTTCTCTCTCTCTCTCTCTCTCTCTCTCTCTCTCTCTCTCTCTCTCTCTCTCTCTCTCTCTCTCTCTCTCTCTCTCTCTC